CCCCCCCCCCCCCCAAAAAAGGTACACGAAATATAACCCGCAAGTCTATAAAAGGTCCTATTTACCCGCATACCCTTTCTTAATGGAAATATGGCTTAACCTAGTCAAAGGCAAATTACACAGGACGACCACTAAGGTCCCATTTACCCACAACACCACCCTATAGAACTGTGCATCAAGGGGTAGGGACCTCCTTACCTTACCGCTCCTTTCTCCTAACTGTGGAGATTGAGGCTTTGTTGAGTAATGCCATAGAGAATGGTAATGCCTTTAAAGCCCCATTCCCGGCAAAATTTCACTAAAAACTGACTTTTTTAGAAAATATGCATTTTCATTACTCCAATTATTATAAATCATGGAAAAATATTGGCATGAATTTTAGTTTTACGCAAAAGAATAAAAAAAAATGAGAAATACAGACTATTTCTCATCATAAGATATTACATTTTCTAGACGAATTCATCGTTACTAGGCAAATTCAGAGGTTGTAGATCGCATCCACTGGGAATACTCTCGCTTTTATGTATACTTTATACAGTCAATAAAGTGCGCCCTCTCTAATTAGATTAGTTTTTGTACTTTTGCATCTCGCACAATGCGGTCGTTCGGTTAGGCTGAGATATGTTTAAGTGTCAAAATCTCAGTCAGAATCAGTTTTTTAACAAATTAGAAATAATTCCTATGAAATATTATATTTCACAAGTGTCAATACTAGCAACGGAAAATATCATGTCGGCCGTTTTTATGTGTGATAACAGAACCTAAATCGAGGTAAGGCTAGGCCTAGCCTAGCAGCGTTGGATAGGCTAATGTTTTCGGCGCCTACGATATTTCTTCTCACGACCTATCGCAAAATCAAACATGAAAAATTAATCCGCATTTATTTTTTGTATGGAACACATAAAATCAAATTTCAGTCTTATTTTACATTATTTTCATTCCTAGGAATGTCTAAATTCAGTTAAACTAGCAACTCCGTATTATATTTATAAATCTTTAGAACATTATACAAAAATTAGATTTTTCTTAAAAACTGAAATTTTGCCCGGAATGGGGCTTTAAAATGCCTCTAAAATCGTGGGCCACTTCCATCCACATGATCTGCGCCAATGCTATACACCATTTTCGCTAAACTTGAAATGAAAATTTCCAATAACCTGCCAACCTCTCTGGGGGACTTACAGAGATCTAGCATTTTAATAATTACCATTATGGAATAGGCCTTACTACTGAGCACGAATATTTTAAAACGATAAAAGAACAACGAAATGTTTGTATTAAAAACAAGCTAAAGTCTTGAAAAGCTATTTCAATCAATGTTTACATATACAGCTGAGTTAACATGATGTCGTACGTGTTGTCTACTGCATGCTGCTATAGCAAAGGTGTAGCGTAGCGGCGCGATCCGCTCCGCGGTGTTCTATTCGTAACTAGGCATCTGCTTAATAGCTCTATGCTGCTCCCTCAGTGAGTTGTAAGACGTTGGCGGCGCTGATTCAAAAAATTGTCGATATTGTCTATAATAGGCCTGCCTTACGAAGTAGTGTATTATATCATACCGTATTTATTTAGCCATCACTTTATTTGGCCATCTCATAGGCGCAAGGTCTTTTCGATGTTAATGTCTTCATACCATTAAGTAAAATGTAATATTCATTTATGGTAAAACTATCCAACATTATTTAAATGTTTGCATCTATCACATTGCATTTATCATGGATCCCTCCTCCGGACATGTTAAAAGTCTTCACGGACCCCCATGTTTAAGTATTACTCATTGACGGTGTTCCGACAATAAGATTATAGATGAAAGATTATTCGTCACAGAAGTACAACATTAAACAGTGGCGGATGCTAGAGTTCGAAATAGATGGACCAGAAAGTCAATTTTACACACAGGGTGTCGATACCACAACATCATGAACATTATGGCACATCTAGGTGGCCGGAAATGGCACATTCAGAGCAGGGGTGGCGCCAGCGGGGGGACCGGAGCCCCCGTCAGGGAGAGCTTCCCCCCACCCCACCCTTTCCCGCCGGGGGAGAAAAATGCATACATAGTAGACTCTAAAATCGTTTAAATAAGCCTTTGAAACCCCTAAATTGTCAAACTTTCTTCGCCCCCTGGACCACTTTCGAAGCCTTTTAATCGAAGCTCGACTACGCCCACTTTGCTTTCGTCGGAGAAATCTGACCCCTCGTCGGGGGCATCGGCGCCCCCGTCAGGGACCCCGTCGGGAAAATCCTGGCGCCACCCCTGATTCAGACTCAAAATTTGAATGTAATTTTCATTTAGCGCCCATTTATTTTTAATTTTTTTAAAATTTAGAGCCCTCATGACGACAGCAGGCAATGTCAGTCCGCAAGATATTTCCCTCATCAAACTCTCTCTCTGTCAGGCACTTAGTTCGTAGTGATCAAACACCTTCTTTCCGGTCGGTATTTCGCTTCTCTCGGATATCAATATCAATATCCATCGATTGTTTTGCAACCTTAACTCAGATTTAAAGAGATCTAAGCACCTTCTCTTTGGCCATCTCTTCTCTCGGATATGTCTCTTTAACTCACCAGTCCATCGATGGTTTTTCAACCTTTCCATTTACTTTTTGCAATGTTATATCATTTAGGCCTACTTTTGTCTTTTTTCTGATGACCTTGCATGTTATTTTATTTAGTATTGTTATTTTCAACATAAACATTTCCATGTTGAGCTCATTGTATATAAGTAGGCCCTATACTATTCATTATTCATTTATTGGTTTCAGATGTAAAATCCATATAACATATAGGCCTACGGTACACAAAATAACCATTACTACTGTAGGCCAATATAAATATAAACAGACCAGAATAATCTAGGCTTACTTCAAATTACCTCGATAGACCTATCATCTATAAATGTTGACTATCTTTGGTGTACAGTATTAGGTTTAACCATGGTTTAACAAAAACATGACTACCGTAAATGCTCGAATAAGCGCCGCTCTCGAGTAGCCAATAGTATCCATGTGTGTGTAATGAAACAGGGTTATAAATTCAAATGTATACAGTGTTAAACTGAATAAATAACACAAAGAAGACACAAGCATTTCTTATAAACGCGGCGCTTATTCGAGCATTTACGGTAACCATAGTCCTGCAGCATAATCAAAGAGTTAGAACTAGTATGGACTCTATCAATAAACCATGGATCGACCTGCAATATTCATGAAATGAGGTTAAACATCATGCTGGCGCTATTGGTAATCTCAATCAGTTGCATAGCAGAGCATTATTAAAATATTATTAAAATATTCTGTATTAGGAAGTGCTCAATAAATCCATTTACACATTACGTCTTAAACTATTGACATTTAACATCTGTAAAGCACACAGAAAATGTTCTACATAACGTGTTTGTTTTAAAAGTATAGTTCCATATGTTATTTCAGCATCATTAAAGTAATCGTCGTTTAAGTAATCGTATTGTTTTGTTGAGTTTGGTCTTTCTGCTCATTGGGGATGTTTGACTGGTTTGGCGCTTTATGTAAATGCTATGGGGTGTAATTCTAATTGTTAATAAGCTCTTCAATAAGTGCATTGTTACAAAAAGTCTGTGGTTATTAAAATATTCAACATTGTAATAGATGAATTGTAAATTAAGCCTATTATATAGAAAATCACATGAAAATTCATTATAGGCTACATTAGGCCCCTTACCTGAAAATGTTACGGAACAAAATCAGGTTTGTCATACCCAAACAATAAAAAGTCAACTTTATATATTTTCCACAGTCCTAGGATTTGTTCATTGTCAAGCATGCCAAAATATTTATTATACGTTGACAAATCGGAACTGTTAGTCGGTCGACTACTGTCTGACGACAGGTATCTTACTTTGTCACTAATATGCAACCTGTCCAATAGATATTTGGACTCGTCAACAACGTCTTCTAAATTTCCAATAAAATCGTACTTCACAGAACAAGGCGCACAGATTTTGTACATTTCCCGCCAATGGTCGTTAAAGTAATCGTCTTTCTCAAAACGTTTTCTTTCCGGCAGGTGAATCAAGTAGTCGACGAACTCTGGCCAGGTTACGCCTTCGCCTGTATCTAGAGCATGCGGGGCCGGGTTTTCTCGCCATCGTTTGATGATATGTTTTCCGTAGCGATGGAAATGTGGATTTCCTCGGTAATAACTTAAACTCTCAAACTTGTTTTTGTATACTGAAAGTAATCTTTTGAACGGATGGCGTATAAACAAGAACTTTGTGTAATTAGAAATTTTTTTTGCTTGCTGTGTTTTGCTGTACGCCGTTAAAAATGGCATTGTAGCTGTCTTGTGAACTTCCCCAGACGTCAGGTGATCCACATTGGTCTTTTGGCCATGAAGCACCATCATAATCCGCTTCCAGTTACTACAGCCGACTTTTGGGATGAAACAATACATTAATCTGTACTTATCTACGACGTAAGTGTGTCTCTGAGCGTAGACAGGAAGGCTATTGCTAGGTTTTCGATGGCAGTGTTTTTCCAAATTCCGTCTCCTCTTCAACTGTACATTTTCAATTATCATTTCTCTGATACTCGCCTGGTGCTTGGAAAAAAACATTGATGCAGTAAGTATCGCAAACATCATACACAATATTTCAGAAATGATTTCATAACAATTATAACATTGCTTCGCATTATAATATCGAAAAGAATAATAATGATGACGATGATAATAATGATACTGTAATAATAATTGTAGTCCTATGCACCAATACATAATCCAGGCCCATTGGCTTAGTGCTATTGATTCTACCCGGTGGTTGTAAAAATAATATTAAATAAAGATGAACTCTATAGCTACAGATACGCCTCCCATATTCCCTGGTGATTATCATACTAGGCCTATTTGACTACCGGTTATTTTTTCAGGATTGAATATTATACTCTATGTAGGCCTATAAGGTAAAGTGCCTGGTCAAAGGATCAAAGGAGATAGCTTAATATTGATCATTATACTAAAATGTGCTATTAAAACATTTAGATTCTTACGTTAGTAGGTTCGCCGTCCGGACCAATATGAAATCCCATCATAAGCCGGCTACCTTCACCTTTAGTTTAATAAATTTAAAAAAAACCAATGATAATAATAATATTAATGAGTCATGGGTTAATATACTGTGATTCTCCACATCTGTGTTGTACGTATCAAGAACAGCCATTACCATTCGGTATTATTAGCCTACGGTTCTCTCTCCATTCGTGCAACTGACATGACATTTCAACGGCCGTATACACTGTTGTAAGGTAGTAGGAGGTATTCATGGAGTGAATGCTTCAGGGGAGAAGGCGTGAAGCATAAAGCTTCTGTGTCAGTATAGTAGGATGAGGAAGAGGAATTCAACAGACATCAATATGAAAAGCAATCCATGGAACAATGTAGAGTCTAGGAAGTGTCATCATTAGAGAAGGCGGAAAAAAGGCACTCCCTAGATGTCCCTGAGAGATTGGAATCGGCATAAAGACCATGTACCTATACTCAAGGGGATCTTGGCCAGATTGTCGAAACACAGATTGCAGAAAGCTATTTAGAAGACTCAAAAACCATGAATCCAGGCTAATCTGGTGGTAGCCACTGTGTCCGCTGAACCGTGAGGATCACAGGTCCCTGGTTCAATTCCCATCGCTGCTCTCCTGGTGTTTCAGTTGGGCTGAAATACAATTTACGATAGCGCACCGTCTTTCGGGTGAGACGTTTATTATGCCGTTGGTCCTGTGTGCATTTATAGCCCATATGTGCACGTTAATGAACACAGCACACTCTTCGGAAAAGAGTAGAGGATTGTCTCCCGATGTACGGCCCATCACCACAAGAAGGACCCCACTGTAAATGAGTCTTCTTCTAGACTTTCGTGGGCTATCGTTTGTGTTTGCACCGAATAAATTCAATCCAATCAATCAATCAATCCAATGGATTCAGCAAACTGGGTTTCGGCAAAGTGGCTATTTACTTGGCAAACCGAGTTTCGGCAAACTGGGTTTCGACAAACTGGTCGAATTCGACTCAAGGACAAGAACGCACCTTAAGAGAAAGAAGACCTTGTCTCCAATTGGGTTCTAGGCCCTTTGCCACCCGGCCTTTTGCCATCCTAGGCCCGTTGCCACCCGGCCCGTTGCCACCCTTGGACCGTTGCCATCTGGCCTTTTGCCACCCGGCCCGTTGCCACCCATAGTGGTACAGTATAGCATTTATTCTTGGAAATTTCACTCCCGGTATTTTTGCCACAACATGTGCACGGAAGGATGAATGGATTGATTGCTTTGATAAGTTAAATATTAAAACAAAGACAATTCGTTGCGGTTATAAAATATGCGTGAAATAACCCTAATTAGTGTATGATGTCTTTAATAGTATGTATTTAGATGTATGATATGAATGCAAAAGACGGGATGGCAACGGACAGGGTGGCATGCGGGCCGGAACCCATCCCTCAGGACCGACTGTCAACAGGACCACCATCATTGAGTGACACCCATCCGCAAAAAAATCGAAGTTGCGCAGCTAAGATGGCTTGGTCATCCAGAAAGAATGACGACGAGAGAGTAGCAAAGAGATGCTGAAGCCTAATTGGAAAAAGTCCGGATAGACACAAATGAAGACTGAGAAACAACATTAGAAGAAAAGGGAGATTATGGACCGTAAGGAAGGAGGCAGAAGATTGCTCCCACTATGACAGGCGGAAGCTTATACCTCGGAGCTTAAATAAGAAGTACGGTACCGTTAAGTCTTTTAATACCGTTAATAACTAAACATATACTAACCCCCTTTATTATTTCAGTTTCTAGTAGTGTTTTCAATATGAATACAGTATACTTACGGTTTTGAGTAGGCCTATGGTGTTTACCGCTGGTTAGCAGATATATGAAAGTTCCAATGGATAACACTATAGCAACTCGGAAGTAGATTGTAATCCGACAAGTACGCATTGTATTGTATCATATCATGTACCATAAGTTACCATAACGACGAATATTAGGCCAACTGAAAAATAAAAGCAAAATAGTTTCTACGAAAAAAATAAACAATAATAATAAGAGGTTAGGCCAAAATTATATTAGTCTTGCACGAAATGTGATCATTTGTTTTTCATCCTCGCATTGCACCAGAAGATAACATCGAGTAGGCTAAGTCCGCAATGGTTGTAAGTCTGCAGTAATGCAGAAGTGAGTATGAATATGAATTAATACTCTTGAAATGTTACTTTTTTTTACTAGACCTTCTATAAACCCCACTCATGGAAAGAACCATCTTGAACAGGACTACACTACACAGATGCGCAAATATTTTAAATACTGTAGCCTAGGCCTATCCAGGCCTACTGATTATAAAAATGGTTATTTTCCGGATATTTAAACGGGAATCCTAAATCTTGGCATTCAAAACCAGCGCAATCTACCGGACCCCACAACGTCCTACAATTATACCACAGCTACTGTACGATATCCCATCGGCCCCACCCCACCACCCTGACCATGTATCTACTTCCGTGTGTTAATACAGTGTTTGAATGAAAGCTTTCGCGTCTGTGTGGTCTCGTATGTGGTTACGTTGTTTCTGTGGTGTTTAGAATAATAGGACCAGAAAAATACGCGTTTGTACGGGCGATGAAGCATTTCCAGGATCATTTCATTGATTTGGGCCCTAACATTCCACCTCTTGTCACCACGGATGACGCCTCTTCCCTTAACACAAGAGAGCTAGAAAAGCTAACTTGATATTGTGTAAGCTCCAGCTAGGCTAGTGAACGGCAGCATTTGTTCAGTGGTA